TGTAGCACTGGACTGTTACTGCATCACTCAACAAGGCATGCGAGCAAGTCGTTTTCACAGTCTGACCAGTCTTTGTCATAGACAAGGACTGGTCAGGAAACTTTGCCTACTTGTCTATGTTGAAAGAGAAGGGTGTAGTCAGAGTATAGAGCTGTAGGGGTAATCACAAAGAACCAATTCCACTTGGCTGGGCAAAAAATGGTAATCAAAGGGTTTGCAGAAGTGAAAGCAGTAGAAGGATGAGGGTGGGAGGAAGATGGGGTGGTATGGAGAGGATGACAATAAGGATGAAGAGTAGTAATAAAGGGGTAGACAATGAAGATGACTGTGTAGAAGATGGAGTGGGGGATGTTGGGAGAGAGGAAGGGGTGTATTCTGAAGGTTGAGTAATGACCTAGGTGGATGATTTGGAATGGAATGAATTGACAGCAAACATCAAGTAGGGGTATTAGAATCAATGGTCGGAGCAGTGGTCAAAAGGAGAGGCCGAGGTCAGGAAACCAATGAAATCAAATTTAGAATTAACTGATGAAGGGGCAAGACTAAATACCCCTAACAAGGGTAAAAGACTTCATTAGTGACCATGGTGAGCCTGGAATAAATGGGGAGAAGAAACTTTCTGCTCCTCAGGGTCCCCATGACATGTAAGAGCTAGGCTATTAACCAAGGGAATATCATGCCCATGACTCCTCAAGGCCAACAACCAAGGGATTGGGGGGGTTAGCAGCCAGTACCCTTTCAGGTTTTGCCTATTGTGTGGACATGGCAGTAGAACCATCGAAACATTGCAAATAATGCCATTTAATCCTTTGACCATTTAATAGCCACAAGGATCATATTTTGTCCATTGAAGTTGTGTCTGTGAAATATATTTAAAATTAAATGGCTTCACAAGTGCTCAGCCACCGAGGAGTCAATTAGTAGACCTCATGACATCTGATTTTCCCTTTCCTAAAGTTTTAGGGTTTTTTTTATGCTATTAACCCAATGCCACCAGGAAAAATGAACAAAAAATGGGGAAAATGCTGTACCTATTTTCTATATTTTGTGTGAAATGTCTTCCCATAGATGGCTCTGCTTGTGCTTAGCCACAAAGGAGTCAATTAGTAGACCTTGTGACTGCACCCGATTTGATATGGCAGGAAAAACACTTTTTACTAGTGCTATGAATATTGTTGGTGTTATTTTTATTTTAAACATTATAATTATTATAATGTTTTTTAATATTAGTAACAGCAAAATAAGATAACATAAAATATTTTGTAAATCAAAGAAAAGGGTAAACTGGCGAGACAGGCAGTACTCATAACTGGTTCATTGGTGACTTAGTACAAGTGTAGCCATCTATGAGTTAAAACAATCAAACAAGTACTCACAGTGGTCATGCACGTACATACACATCATACCGTCGGCATTGGATTAATATTAATAGCATAAAAAATATAATTATGATGATACTTACATTACTAATACCAATAAAGAGGTAGTGCTAGTAACTGACAATCTATGTGTAAAAACAATAAAGAAATTACAACTTATCTTCCACAAGAATGCATTACTTTTCATGCAAGATGATCCACTGAGAGTATGTACATATACATGTCAGCACCCATTCTCTCTTCAATTTGCCACTTGACACAAAAGGCAGCATTTACTGGGCAAACAGGCATGAGGGGATATAGACCCACTGTATAGTAACTAGGCAGGGACTAGTAAAAGAGGGAGAGTGAAAAGGAAAACAGCCACAGTTAGAAATGAGGGAAACCAGAGGGTGAGTGTTATGGGTGACTAGATCAAATGTAGGATATCTATGCATCTGAGAAGACTTAGCTATTAAAGTAAAATGAGGGATATTTCAAAGGGATGTTCAATAGGCTGAGGGTTGGAGAGGATAGAACAAGTGAGGACTTGACAGAATGCTGAAAGAGGAAAATTGCATGAGGAATGGTAAAGACAAACCATTATGAAGCAATCAACGGGTAATAAGGATTGAAATGGGTGTTAGAGAAGTAAGAGGAAACACCGGGAAAAGAGACAAGGGACTAAGGGAAGGAGGTTACAAATCAGGATGATTGTCAGGAGAGGACGGAATAAGGGAAGGACACTGTTGTAACAAAAGGGAGTCGTGTGAATATCCAAGAGGGAGCAGAAAGGATAAATGGGGAAGTAAGGAAGGGTGGTGCAGATGGAGAAGGGGAGGATGGGGTGTGTTGGCTGGGAGTGGGAGGAAGATGGGTAGGGGGAACATGAGGAAGAGGATGGATGTCTGCAATCACTTTGAATGTAGAGGGAATGGGAGAGACTGTAGGGTAAATGAACGAGACGTGAGTTCTCTCGGATTTTGAGTATCCTCAAGAATTTCCGGAGGAAAGTTATGTGAGAAGAGGAGACAGACGTCTGGGGAGCAGAGGAAGAGGTATGTATAGGAGAGAATGCAGTAGGAGATAGGGTAGAAGGTTCAAGTTGCCTGGTGTGAAAGGTAGAGTGAGAAGGGGCAGTCTCCACCAGGGAAGTGGTAGAGATTCTAGTACATGGATTTAGAAAGGCAAATTAATTTAACTGGGAGAGGGGGAGTTGAGGGGGAAGCAGGAGGAGGAAGAGGGAGTAGTGTCGAGTGAGGTAGTACAGCAGAAAGGACAATAAGGATGGACGGTAGAAATACGGGAGGAGGGGGTAGATAATGAAGATGGAGATGCAGGGGGAGGAGATGGAGTGGAGGATATTGGAAGAGAGAGAGGGGGAGGTTTTCTGAAGGTCGAGTAATGACATGGATGAATGATTTGGAATGGATCGAGTTGACAGCAAGTACCAAGGAAGGAGGAAGAGGAGGAGGAGGAGGAGGAAGCAACAGCACTGGTCAAAGCCATGATTAAAGAAGATTCAGAGGATAAATTCAGGGAGATTATTTGATATGGGGGAAGTCTTAATGCTCCTAATAAAGATATGAAATCAATATTAGCTATGGTGAGCCTGAAATATATAAAGCAAAACAGTCTATTCATAAAGCATTAAAAAAAAAGTTAATACAAGATGGCACACAAATTATAAATATTTTCATAAATAACATTTTCAATTTTTGAACCTCTCAAATTTTTCTCAGCTCATATTAGATCCATGTGAATTAGTCTTTTATAGGCCCATATCCCATATCCCTAGTCTATCCCAATCCTGAACATTTGGGACTGTGTTCAGGTTTGGGTCCCTGAAGCAACAGCACAACACAGTGCGTCACTAGTCATTACCAAAGGTTCAGGTTCGGGAGTTTCTGAAAGCCCCAGATGTAAACACATTGCTGGCTATGATATTTGGCTTGTCTTATTACGGAACATATGGCAGATTCAAGATTCAAGATTTCTTCACTGACAAAAATGCGAATAACGGGCGAAAGTGATAATGCAAGATATCTCTGCCACAGTTAATGATTGCTGTAAAGCATTGCAATAATTTTCAACATTTATAAGTCATTAGAGAGTTATTGTATCGAATCCTCTCTATTCATATTTTTTATTAATTAGAAATAATAACACCAAATTTAAATACGCTCAACAAACTGTTGGAAGGACATTAATAATATAAACTAATAATTACTGAACATAAGGTAAGTTTTGGGGTTATTGCGTGTGTGTGTTCATTGCGCACGAAGCCTTACCACAAGGGACTAGCAATTCAAAGATCATGAAAAAGATTGGGGTTTGGGTTCAGGATGGACTTGGGATATGGGCCATGTAGTGACAACTGGCAGAGTGCATTATATCTGGAGTAACATCCAAGTATTTCATTGACTAAGTATCATAACCTTATCAATCACCAAATACAGTAATAATCAGCAGCAGCCTGTTGACCTATCATCAGTCACCACCTATCAAGCATACCCTTGCCTTTAACCCCTTAACGCCGGGTGACACCAATAGACGTGAAAAACCACTCGAAAGCTGGCCAGTGATTCAGGCTGATGTACCCTACTCTCACGCTCAAAGTCGGCACGCCGCCTTTGTTTGCCAGAGCATAGTTGTTTTTTTTGTTTTCTTCACCTGGCACCATTGGTTTAAAGAAATAGTAATAGCTATCATTACATAAAAAGGAAAGTACCTGTACTCATTGCCAAGTTACAAAAGAATCCCGGACACAGGAAAAGACAGGGGAAATTGATAAACATTTTAAATGAAAGATTTTATTACAAATCGGCATCATCCTACTTCCTATGTTTCTTTTAGACATTCACTGATTACTTGGTTGCAAAAAGCTGGAACCAACAGGCCCTTGCTTTTATACTGTGAAATGTTATTAACAAGCATCACAAACTGAATAACAACTTAACATTTTTTTATTTACTTATTCATTCTTTTTTTTTTTTGGTATTTTTTTTTGTTTTTTGCTTTCCTCTAAAGAAAAAAAATATATATATACATGATATACATAAAACAAAAAAATTTAGATACCCGAAAAATTTTCAACAAAAGAAAAAAAAACATTCCCGATATATGTAATGCTTAGGTAATTTGTACTTGTGTGTGAACTTTCTCTGTAGCCGTCAGCAGCACGTATTGCAGCAACCTTTTATCCTGTGGTTATCACTCAATGTGGAACCTTGGGATGAAAACAAAAATGAAAAAAGAAAAAGAAAAAAAAAAAAAAAAAAAAAAAAGGTTCAGAAGGGAATAGAAAAAGAGGGGAGGAAGGGGGCGACATGGGCATCTTCAGAAAATTGCTTGAAGAAAAAAATAATAATAATAATAAAAAATTAAAATTAAAATGGATTCATCTGGATCTTCCCCAAAATTCCTCTTTACTCCAGCTGAATGAAATATGTTTACATATATATGTATGTATATGAGTATATATATAAGTATGGATGTGGGCACTCATGTACATAAACACGAGTGTGACCGTGAGTGTGAGTGTAAGTGTGGGTGTGGGTGTGGGTGTGGGTGTCAGAGAGAGTGAGAGTGAGAGTGAGAGAGTGAGAGTGAGAGAGTGAGAGTGAGAGTGAGAGTGAGAGTGAGAGTGAGAGAGTGAGAGTGAGAGAGAGAGAAAGGAGAAAACACCTGTTTAACAAGTGCAAATACTTCCATAATTGTGTGTGTAATGTGTGCATGTGTACAAATACATATAATTGTGTCCCTATGTATGTATGTGGGCCTATGTATGTATATCTTCTTGCAAAGTATTTTATACTCATACAAGTGCACACAAAAAAATTCCTTCATACATATATATAACCACATACATGTACATATATGTGTATATACATACATATAAACCAAAGGGTATAACCTTAATTAAATTTCTTGTTACTTATCCAACACACATATATATGTAAAAAAAAGACTAATATTAGTGGGCATTAAAATTGCCTCCGACATCCAGACCTCTAAAAGAAAATAAGAAAAAAAGAAAAAAAAAAAGAAAAAAAAATATATATGCACATGGATTTACATTCACACTCTGGTTCCTAGAAAATTTTAATTGGCAGATCCTTTCCCTTTTTTTTTTTAACAATTTCAAACGTGAAAGTGGAATTAATCTACTTTTTCACATGGAAAACTTTAACTGCATAGTCATGTTCACTGTTCTGGTAAAAGTACAAATAGTCTGCCAGCATAACTCCAAAGCTACATATATAAATTTTGCACTAGACCATACCACGATGGAAGTAAACAAGAAAATTTCATGAGAAAATCATATATATCCTGAAAAAAAATTTAAAACAAGTTCCAGAAAATTCCTAAAAAGAAAAAGAAAAAAAAAAAAAAAGAAACAAAAAAAAAAAAAAAAAGGGAAATACAACGACCACTCCTCCTCATCAACCTCCCACTACAGCGCTCCGGTGAGGGTTGAGCCACTCATTAAGCGGGATAACGCGAACGGCACACCTTGCCCAACGGCACATGCGCGGGAAGTAGCGTCAATGATCACACTTGTGCTGAAGAACTCACTCGAACACTACATCAATAAGTGTTTTGAAATCACTACAAAAGTTAAAGCCTGAGCTCCTTTTCAATAGGATTTTTTTCTTTTTTCTTCTTTACAAAAAAAATTATTTATATTTAATGTGCATTCCTGAAATATACTAATTCAGGTTTTAAAACTACAAATAACAGAAGGAGATGATGTAGTTGAACAAGCTGTCCAATGGAGAATTTAAACCTCAAATCAATGACGATATGGCAGCCCGTACCTGGGCAACCTCAACTCAACTATACAAGGAACGATCTATCCATCATTCCAGGTACTTAGTAACTAATATCGTTAATACAGTGATCACAGTTTACAACAGTCTCAAGTAACGCGCATCTTCCATCTCACATTAGATTAAATACAAGAGAAGATCAATATCATTCAAGCTTAAATAAAGTCACTTTTTTCTTTCTTTTTTGTTTTTTTTATACGTTTTTGGCAGGGTGGGGGGAAAATCTGGCATAGCTTAATGTGTCTCCTCTTTGAGACAGATGTGTCTAGCACCTTTATTTAACCCTCCAGTGTGTACCAAATAGAAAAGGATTTCTTGTGTTCACCAGGATTCCTCGTTTTTTTTTTTTTTCTTCTAAGAAAGAAAAAAAAAAGAAAAAAAAAAAAAGAATAAAAAAAGCCATTTCTCAGGACATGCATTTGGTCCTCAACTGCCACTGTGATTTTAAAAAGAGAGATAACTTACAGTCTCTTTCTGGCATATTCCTTCACCCTAAGGTTTCACTTTGATACTGTAACCTCTTGATTTTGAGATGGCCACACTTCTCACAATCGTGCAAGAGTTGTACAATGCAGTTGCACTACAGTTCATTGCAGCATTCTCCTCTCTGGTCCATCTGTTGAAAGCGAGAGAGCAATCTGCAGACACACGGCCTTCAATGCGTCCATTTCCTCACAAGGCTGGCCCATGGGAAAGTGAAACAACAACACTAGGTTCCAGCAAAGACCCCCTACCCCTGGAATCCCTCCCGCCCCAACCCTAAACACTAGTTTGAAAATAAAATCTCCTATGCCCTATTGGTCATTATTCGCCGTCACTTTTGAATTTCTTGTCCTCCTGCTTGATCCCGTCGTTGCCAGCCTCGTCGGAAGTTCTCTTGGCACTCCCGCTTGACTCCACCTTCAATTTGTTCAACTTGATGATGATGCACGTCATGTTGTCACAGCCTGTGCCATCCCCATGGGTGTCTGGGGCTAGACAGTGGTCAAATAACTAGAAAGTAAGGAAAAAATATCTTAGACTCATGGAGAAAATCTTTATCATACATGTATTAATAAACATATATACATACATTTTATATTTATATATATATATATATATATATATATATATATATATATATATATATATATATATATATATATATATATATATATATATATATATATATATATAGAGTATGCATATATAAAGAAGTCTGAAAACGTATATCATATATACACAAGCAGCTCCAGACTGAAACCATAACAATTCACAAAATCCACACAATTAGTAGAGAATCTCACCTCCTCACAAATCTTTGAGAGCTTGGTATCCTCACTCAGCCTCTCAGAGACAAAATCACAGGCTTCCTGAGATGAGAGAGAGTTCCAGATTCCATCACAGGCAACAATTATGAAGTTATCTTTGGGTTCTAGTGTCATGGAACGAACATCAGGGAGCGGACTGATCATCTGTTCCTCTGCCGAGAGGTTTTTGTTTTGCTTGTAGCCATGGTCACCTGAAAGGGAAAACTCACATTAGGGAATTGGGGGAACAAGTGAGTGCGAGAGCATGCAAGCAATCAAGCAAGCAAGCTAGATAGATAAATAGATAGACAGATAGATAGATAGAGAGAGAGAGAGAGAGAGAGAGAGAGAGAGAGAGAGAGAGAGAGAGAGAGAGAGAGAGAGAGAGAGAGAGAGAGAGAGAGAGAGAGAGAGAGAGAATATAAATATGAACTTGAAAATTAAAATACAATTACTGTATTACAACAGAAGTTAATTACACAACTGTACCTTCTACTTTATAAATTCAACTGTTGTATAAAAAAATACAATGTAGATCACGTTCATTAAGATGAATATTCCTGTATCATGACACCAGAAGACCATGTATACACATGCTATGGTCACTGCAATTTTTGTTTACTGCTATTGTATACACAAAAGTGGCTCCAGAAGTTCTCAGTCACCAAGGATTCTATTATAAGATCCACCTGAGCAATAATAATCCCTGCATCAAGTGAGCCCTTATGGCCCAAAAGTGAATGATTTTGCCATACACTACACCTCTTAGCTGATTACTGTAAACAAACGATCCTTGCATGGTAGACAAAAATGAGGCTTGGTGAGAGAGAGATGACTTAGTGGAGATTGAGAAAGCACTAAAGGCTTGAAAGATTAAAGATTTCTTTATCATCACAATGACTAACAAAGACACCAAAATAATATGAAATTTGTTACAGCATTACACAAGGAATCAACTAGGCTCACAGGTGACTAAGCACTTGTGGAGCTCTCTCTCCAAATAAAATATATAAAACATAATTACAATGGACAATATACTTCTAATATCAATTACCTACAAAAGAATAATCCTAAGAATTTCTGTTGGAGGGGGAACGAAGTTAAACAATATAAGAACTGCTAACCCAGAAGTCCTCCACTTATGATCTTGGAGAAAACAAAATTGGTTAAGTCAGTACTGGCTTACCAAATGACTAAAACTTGTCATTTTAACCTACTTGTTTTCTCCGTATATAGTAATGGTAATAAGCATAATAAATGAGGAAATAGCAATAAAAAAAAGATGAAGAAAATGGAAAAAAATATATAATAAAAACACAGGAGTAATACTATAACAACCACCACTCCTACCAATTGCTCTTGAGAGATTGAGTCCTCCGTTGACCCTTCCATCAGCTGTTACTCTCCCTCCTGCTCTAATGATTCTTGCTGCCTCAGGATCGTCCTCTGGCTTGTGGTCGAGACTCATCTCAATGGCTTTGCCATCTCTGGACACAACGCAGCGTGAATCACCCACATTGGCCACATAGAGCTCATTGTCTTTGATCAGTGCTAGGCAGGCTGTGCATCCACTGTCAAAGCCAGGCTGCAAAAGGAAGGGCACTGGTTAAACTCCCAAACATTGGCCACATAATTCAAAGGATTCAAAGCGTGATTTATTATACACCTACACCCTGAAAGATGAAGTATCCTTAATGAGATAAATCCATTAGCAGTCCGTTTAGAAACATGGCAGATATATATAAAATTGAATTGTTGGAGGGGGAACGAAGTAAAACAATATAGTCATTGTTCAACACAGAGGTCCTCCATAACTTTATCTAGGAGAAAAAGTAACAGGAAAGTAAGCAATTTACATCCTGAATGAGAAAGTAATATTAAAAATATTTCTTTCTCAATTATTTTTCCCCCATTTCAGAAGTTTACAAAACCATCTACAATTTTTAATCTGCAAATTACTTGACTTTTTTAAATCTTAATTCAGCAATCAAAGAGATAAAATTAAAAATTCTGGGGATGAACACTACAACGTATGGCTTTCTTGGGCACTGTACCTATCCCTGTCGTTATCCCTCCCTCATTAACCAAATATAGTTTTAATTGTCTATTTTGTTATCACATAGATGGCTTCACAAGTGCTTAGTCACCATGGTGCTAATTACTATGCCTACCTGACCTCTCCAGATTCCCCATCATTTTCTTCCTTACAATACTTTTATTAATTTTATTTTCTTTATATCAAGGAATAGGGTAACCATCCAAGATCAAGTAAATCTACATATATGTATCCATACATGTATATCTACATATATGTATCCATACATGTATATCTACATATATGTATATGTATATCTACATATATGTACATCTACATATGTATACATATATGTATATGTATATCTACATATATGTATATCTACATATATGTATCCATACATGTATATCTACATATATGTATATCTACATATATGTATCCATACATGTATATCTACATATATGTATACATATATGTAACTACGTACATATACATATATGTAGATCTACATATACGTAAACATATGTACATCCACATATATGTACATCCACATATATGTACATCTACATATATGTATATCTACATATATGTACATCCACATATATGTACATCTACATATATGTACATCCACATATATGTACATCTACATATATGTATCCATACATGTATATCTACATATATGTACATCTACATATATGTACATCTACATATATGTACATCCACATATATGTACATCTACATATATGTATATGTATATCTACATATATGTATCCATACATGTATATCTACATATATGTATATCTACATATATGTACATCTACATATATGTATACATACATGTATATCTACATATATGTACATCCACATATATGTACATCTACATATATGTATATGTATATCTACATATATGTATATGTATATCTACATATATGTAGACATATATGTATATGTATATCTACATATATGTATACATACATGTATATCTACATATATGTACATCTACATATGTATACATATATGTATATGTATATCTACATATATGTATATCTACATATATGTATCCATACATGTATATCTACATATATGTACATCCACATATATGTACATCCACATATATGTACATCCACATATATGTACATCCACATATATGTACATCCACATATATGTACATCCACATATATGTACATCCACATATATGTACATCCACATATATGTACATCCACATATATGTACATCCACATATATGTACATCCACATATATGTACATCCACATATATGTATATGTATATCTACATATATGTATCCATACATGTATATCTACATATATGTATATCTACATATATGTACATCCACATATATGTACATCCACATATATGTACATCCACATATATGTACATCTACATATATGTATATGTATATCTACATATATGTATATGTATATCTACATATATGTACATCTACATATATGTATACATACATGTATATCTACATATATGTATATCTACATATATGTATATCTACATATATGTATACATATATGTAACTACGTACATATACATATATGTAGATCTACATATACGTAAACATATGTACATCCACATATATGTACATCTACATATATGTATACATATATGTAACTACGTACATATACATATATGTAGATCTACATATACGTAAACATATGTACATCCACATATATGTACATCTACATATATGTAGACATATATGTATATGTATATCTACATATATGTATACATACATGTATATCTACATATATGTATCCATACATGTATATCTACATATATGTATACATATATGTAACTACGTACATATACATATATGTAACTACGTACATATACATATATGTAGATCTACATATACGTAAACATATGTACATCCACATATATGTACATCCACATATATGTACATCCACATATATGTACATCTACATATATGTACATCTACATATATGTACATGTATATCTACATATATGTAGACATATATGTATATGTATATCTACATATATGTATATCTACATATATGTATACATACATGTATATCTACATATATGTACATCTACATATATGTATACATATATGTAACTACGTACATATACATATATGTAACTACGTACATATACATATATGTAACTACGTACATATACATATATGTAACTACGTACATATACATATATGTAACTACGTACATATACATATATGTAACTACGTACATATACATATATGTAACTACGTACATATACATATATGTAGATCTACATATACGTAAACATATGTACATCCACATATATGTACATCTACATATATGTAGACATATATGTATATGTATATCTACATATATGTATATGTATATCTACATATATGTATACATACATGTATATCTACATATATGTAGACATATATGTATATGTATATCTACATATATGTATATGTATATCTACATATATGTATATCTACATATATGTATACATATATGTAACTACGTACATATACATATATGTAACTACGTACATATACATATATGTAACTACGTACATATACATATATGTAACTACGTACATATACATATATGTAACTACGTACATATACATATATGTAACTACGTACATATACATATATGTAACTACGTACATATACATATATGTAACTACGTACATATACATATATGTAACTACGTACATATACATATATGTAACTACGTACATATACATATATGTAACTACGTACATATACATATATGTAACTACGTACATATACATATATGTAACTACGTACATATACATATATGTAACTACGTACATATACATATATGTAGATCTACATATACGTAAACATATGTACATCCACATATATGTACATCCACATATATGTACATCTACATATATGTATACATATATGTAACTACGTACATATACATATATGTAACTACGTACATATACATATATGTAACTACGTACATATACATATATGTAGATCTACATATACGTAAACATATGTACATCTACATATATGTACATCTACATATATGTACATCCACATATATGTACATCCACATATATGTACATCCACATATATGTACATGTATATCTACATATATGTATACATATATGTAACTACGTACATATACATATATGTAACTACGTACATATACATATATGTAACTACGTACATATACATATATGTAACTACGTACATATACATATATGTAACTACGTACATATACATATATGTAACTACGTACATATACATATATGTAACTACGTACATATACATATATGTAACTACGTACATATACATATATGTAGATCTACATATACGTAAACATATGTACATCTACATATATGTACATCTACATATATGTATATGTATATCTACATATATGTATATGTATATCTACATATATGTATACATATATGTAACTACGTACATATACATATATGTAGATCTACATATACGTAAACATATGTACATCCACATATATGTACATCTACATATATGTACATCCACATATATGTACATCTACATATATGTATACATACATGTATATCTACATATATGTATATCTACATATATGTATACATACATGTATATCTACATATATGTATACATATATGTAACTACGTACATATACATATATGTAACTACGTACATATACATATATGTAACTACGTACATATACATATATGTAACTACGTACATATACATATATGTAACTACGTACATATACATATATGTAACTACGTACATATACATATATGTAACTACGTACATATACATATATGTAACTACGTACATATACATATATGTAACTACGTACATATACATATATGTAACTACGTACATATACATATATGTAACTACGTACATATACATATATGTAGATCTACATATACGTAAACATATGTACATCCACATATATGTACATCTACATATATGTATACATATATGTAACTACGTACATATACATATATGTAACTACGTACATATACATATATGTAACTACGTACATATACATATATGTAACTACGTACATATACATATATGTAACTACGTACATATACATATATGTAACTACGTACATATACATATATGTAACTACGTACATATACATATATGTAACTACGTACATATACATATATGTAACTACGTACATATACATATATGTAGATCTACATATACGTAAACATATGTACATCCACATATATGTACATCTACATATATGTATATGTATATCTACATATATGTATATGTATATCTACATATATGTATATGTATATCTACATATATGTATATGTATATCTACATATATGTATCCATACATGTATATCTACATATATGTATATGTATATCTACATATATGTATATGTATATCTACATATATGTATACATATATGTAACTACGTACATATACATATATGTAGATCTACATATACGTAAACATATGTACATCCACATATATGTACATCTACATATATGTACATCTACATATATGTACATCTACATATATGTACATCTACATATATGTACATCTACATATATGTACATCTACATATATGTACATCTACATATATGTACATCTACATATATGTATATGTATATCGACATATATGTATACATACATGTATATCTACATATATGTACACATATATGTATACATATATACTACATATATGTATACATATATGTATATGTATATCTACATATATGTATATCTACATATATGTATATCTACATATATGTATATCTACATATATGTATCCATACATGTATATCTACATATATGTATACATATAAGTAGATATATATATATACAAATATACATATATATACAAATATACATATATATACTCTCTCACACTAACTCACTCACACAAACAAACAAACAAAAGACACACACACACTCACTGGGCCAATGGTTTTTCTATCTCACTACAATAGACAACCTTCTGTAAGCCAAACAGCAAAAGTATAGAGATCATTTGAAACCACCTTATAAGCCCCAGAGAAGCAATACTCACTCATCCTCATCCTCAAAATTGTCGTCATCCTCTTCCTCCTCCTCGTCACTAAGGTCCTCCTCTGCCGTGCCTTCCTGGATCTTGCGGTAAATTTCAGCTGCCTTCATGGCTGCCACTCGCCGTCTCTCTTTGACCTGTGCTTCCTTCATCGCCTGCACCTCAGAGTTTTTCAACACAGCCTTCCCTTTGCCTCCCTTGCCCCCTTTGCCCTTCCCCTTCCCCGTTTCCAGACCTTCACCACCGTTTACGACAACTTCACCATTCTCCACTTTGTTCTCCTCGTCTTTCTTCTCCACTTTTTCTTCCCCTTCAACCTTGTCCTTGTCTTCATGTTTCGCATCAGCTGCCTCCTCTTCCTCTGCGCGCTCACCGTTCACCATGTGTTTGTCCTCCTCACCATTCACACCGGCTTCTCCCTCGGACTGCGTGCCATTCTGGTCCCCTGAGCCATTTGTTTTGCTGTCAGTTGTACTCGCTGATTCATTTTCTACATTTGATGACTGAGCAGATGACGAGGATGCACCTTGATCTTCGAGGTCTAGTGCGATTGGTCCCTCAGACTGTAACGAGCTACTGCTGGTGCTCTTGGCTTTCAGGAATGGAGAAACAGTCTGCAAGGTGAAGACCAAAATATGTGATGAAAAATTCATTGAAAGCAGTTGGCCAAGTACATAATAGGAACCATTCCCAGGAGTGGGGAGACAACTTAGTCAGAATTAAGTTCAGGATATTTTCACAAATACAAGTGCTTAGTCACCAAGGAGTCAGCCATTAGTGTTACCTATCTCATCTGTTTAGCCTTTTTTTCATTTTTTCAAAGCTTTCACTTCTATCAATTTTTGATATATTTGATGTTATTAATATTTTAATAACAATTTAATTATCATAATCTCAATAAGAATAATAACAATGTCAATATTAATATCGTAGAAAGAAAAACACATTTTTCCGCCAATTCATGGAGTGGGGAAATCAGGATCGGTCACTAGGGCCAACTGACAGACTCCTTGCTGCTGAGTACATGAGGAGCCATCTGTATGTAACAAAAAATCTAGAAGGGACAGTAGATATACCGCTGAAATTGGGTGAAATTGTGGAATTCGAACTCTTTACGAGTTGTCCTTCAGACGACTAATAAACCAAAATGGATGATTTCATTTAAATTCATTTGATTTAATTTTATTTCTTACTGTGGTTGTTTTCCTTTTCATCTTTGTGTACGTGCAGCCTATGAAAATACCCCCACTAAAGCTCAAAAAACCCTCATTTCTATTCTCTGCAACATACCAAAAGAATCATTTACAATCTCAAGTAGTTATTTTTGAAGTGGCTTTTGTCCAAAACTCGACATGACAATTTGCCAGCTCTCACGATGATCCCATTAACCCCAACACTGCCGGGTTAAGAAAATAAATAAAAAATTTACACTCTGGAGATTAATGGCAACAAGCCAACTTTGGGCACAGGAGTTAACTACATTAAGCCGAACGTTCTGCTCGAAGCACTCTGGCACGTCACTGCAGCGTACAGCCATACTCTGCAGACCAGTGGTTTGTTATGCTGCTGCTAGGCGTAGCCCGGCAGTATTGGGTTAAGATTACAGGCTACATAACAGATGATTAACAAAGACTACATAACACACACCTTCTCTTTTTTACATCTGGCAATTTGAGGGTTCTCTGTATACTGTGCCATGACCTCATCCAGAGGCATGGTGGCTTCCCGATACAGGTTGTCCACCTCCTCTGTTTCAGAATCTGAGTTTTCTGGGCGGGAGAAAGAAAATGATAATATTAATAGTATTTGCATTCTTACAGTTGAACAAATAAATTAGTTGCACATCAGTATATGCATAAAAATATGATAATACACATTCATGCCTATTCTTTATTTTAAATTCTTGAATTATCTTTATACCCGTGCAACAATCCTTATCAAGATTATATATACCATCCTGACAAATTAATAGAAAGACAATTTGCAACTATTACTTTAGTTCTAATGGCAGGACTGTTCTCTCAACTGCTTGCTGTAATAAATCAATCAATCATAAACCTACTCTGCTGGGATGGGATGGGATGCATGCCATGTCCCCTGTGTTTTTAGTCTAGTAAGTGCTTTCATATTCATGTGGCTCAACAAGCACTTCATTACCAAGAAGTCAATTACTACAAGTTCTACCAGTTTCACCTGATTACCTTTTTCCTTTATTTTTAGGACTTTTATTTTATCCTTTATTGCTAATAACATCTTAATAATCACACATCTGCACTCACTCACTCACTCACTCTCTTACTCACACACGTGCACTCACTCACTCATTCACACATGTGCACTCTCTCATTCATTCACTGTAAAAAAAAAAATAATAAAATTCAAGGAATTGGAAAAGCAGGCAAGGGAACATTAAGCTACTTATTGACTCCTTGGTGGCTGAACACTTGTTGAGCCACCTGTGTGCAACAAAATGTACAAAAAACTAAAGTGCACAGTACATGTAGGGCTAAAATTAGTGATAAAAAGAATATAAAAAGTAACTAGCAAGTGACACAGGTTCATGCTCTTTACTCATCTCATCTCAAACATTTTCTAATTTTCATATTACATCATTCGCAGTTTTTAAAACAATCTTCTAGCCTTGTAAGTCATGGTAAAAGTATACAATCCCACCTGAATTTGATTTTCATAATGCCAGCCAAATCAAATCATAGAAGTTATGAAAACAAGCAAAAGTGCCTACCTTCCTCCTCATCCTTTGTACCAGCAATCTGTTTGAGAATGTTTACAACATCGGCCTTTGTGAGCGTTGCATCGAAACCCAGGAAGGCATCGGTCAGGGCCTGTGAAAAGTTCCCCTTTTTGTACGCCTCCGTCTCCTTGATGAAGTCAGGCAGCTTAAGAGCCGTGTATGCTGACACCTCATGACCCCCATGGCCATCATAGACAGCAAAAAGGTGGGCGTCTTTGTCAAAACTCAAGATGGAGTTGTGTGCATCCTGGGGGACAAAAGAGGAATTAAGTTTCTTCATAAGACCTAAGTTACATACTACTTGCTTATAGCAATATCAATTACATTTAATTAAATTAAATCATATAAATGTAGGCATATATGAGAGGGAGAGGGAGGGAGGGAGAGAGCGAGAGGAGGAGGGAGAGAGAGAGCGAGAGGAGGAGGGAGAGAGAGAGCAAGAGGAGGAGGGAGAGAGAGAGCGAGAGGAGGAGGGAGAGAGAGAGCGAGAGGAGGAGGGAGAGAGAGAGCGAGAGGAGGAGGGAGAGAGAGAGCGAGAGGAGGAGGGAGAGAGAGAGCGAGAGGAGGAGGGAGGGAGGGGGAGAGAGAGAGAGAGAGAGAGAGAGAGAGAGAGAGAGAGAGAGAGAGAGAGAGAGGAGAGGGAGAGGGAGAGGGAGAGGGAGAGAGAGA